CAGGATTCCAGTACCAGGTGGCAAGGTCATGTGCCTTTCTAGGACCTACCACAGTTTGGGTTTACCGGAGAAAAAAGGTGAAAATACCGGACTGTCCGGGTCAATACCGGACTGTCTGGGTCAATACCAGACACCTGGCAACCCTACTGTCAGCTGTTCCATAACTCCAATAACTTTTGTTACCCTTTTCTGCACCTTTTCCAATTCCAATATATCTATTTTGAGACAAGGCAACCACATAGATTCATAGAACACTAGAACTGGAAGGAAGCTCGAGAGGTTATCAAGTCCAGTCCCCTACCCTCATGGCAGTACCCAGTACTGTAGACCATCCCAGATAGATGTCTATCTAACCTGCTCTTAAGTAGCTCCAGAGATGGAGATTCCACAACCTCCCTAGGTAATTTATTCCAGTGTTTAACCGCCCTGACAGTTAGGAAGTTTTTCCTAATGCCCAACCTAACTCTCCTTTGCTGCAATTTAAGTCCATTGCTTCTTGTCCTATCTTCAGAGGCTAAGGAGAACAGTTTTTCTCCCTCCTCTTTGTGACACCCTTTTAGATACCTGAAAACCGCTCTCATGTCCCCTCTCAGTCTTCTCCTTTCCAGACTAAACAAGCCCAGTTCTTTCAGTCTTCCTTCATAGGTCATGTTCTCTAGACCTTTAATCGTTCTTGTTGCTCTTCTCTGGACCTTCTCTAATTTCTCCATATCTTTCTTGAAATGTGGTGCCCAGAACTGGACACAATACTCTAATTGAGGCTTAATCAGCTCAGAGTAGAGTGGAAGAATGACTTGTCATGTCTTACATTAACAGGAGTGTTGTAGGCTTCTCAAAATCATGCTTGCTTTTTTTGCAACAGCGTCACACTGTTGATTCACATTTAGCTTGTGGTCCACTATGACCCCTAGATCCCTTTCTGCAGTACTCCTTCCTAGACAGTCGCTTCCACTCTGTATATGCGACACCGATTGTTCCTTCCTAAGTGGAGTACTTTGCATTTGTCCTTATTAAACTTCATCCTATTTACCTCAGACCATTTCTTCATTTTATCCAGATCATTTTGAGTTATGACCCTATTCTCCAAAGCAGTTGCATGTGCAGACTTAATAAGCTTACTCTCTATGCCCATATCTAAATTGTTAATGAAGATATTGAACAGAACCACTCCCAAAACAGACTGCGTACACAACCCCACTTGTTATGCCCTTCCTTCTACCGTTCCTTAGAATCATGAACTCTATGATTTCATAATCACTCTCACCCAAGAAGCTGTCTTCCACTTTCAAATTCTCAACCAGTTCCTCCCTATTTGTTAAAATCAAATGTAGAACAGCTTCTGCACCTGGTATTCAAAATGGGGGCTTATCATGGATTTAGAAAGAAAATACCATATTGCCTCTAGCTTATTATGTATTCCTTTCTTAATGATTCCCAGCATTCGTTTGCATTTTTGACTGCCACTGCCTATTAAGTGGATGTTTTCAGAGAACTATCCACAATGACCCCAAGATAAGGGAAGACAATAAAATAATGGTGGTTCTTCAGGGTTAGCCCCTGACAATCTGCCACCACTGTATTTACCTCTGCATCCCCAGGTACAGGTGATTGCAGCTCCCAGTGGCTGTAGATTGCCGTTCCTGACCAATCGGAGCTGTGGGAAGCAGCATGTACCAGGACACTACTTCCTGCAGCTCCCAGTGATTGGGAACAGTGATCCACAATGGCAGGTATCAAGGGGTTTGGAGTGCCCATATCCAGGATCTTCACCCCAACCTCCTACTCTGAGCCCGCTCCTGTTCCAAATCCTTGACCCCAGTCTGGAGCCCTGTCCTGTACCCTAGCCCCTTATCTCTGGTGCCACCCCAGAGCCCACACCCCCGGTCAGAAGCCTCACCTCTCCATGACAACTCTCCGCCACAGCCTGGGGCCCCCTCCTGCATTCTGAGCCCCTCATTTTTGGCCCCACCCCAAAGCCTACGGGAAAGCCCTCAGCTTCCGTCCCTGCACATGTGATCATTTTGTTTTAAATTAGGAAAAATACTTGTATACAGGGGCTCCACAAAATCAGCCCAAAGAAGCCTTGACTAAATGATCTATCCCATAAGCCAGACTCATCTTCTGGCTGTCAGGGGTCTAAGGACACTCACAGGATGGGGTTTCATCCCATTACCATCTTGGCTAATAGCTATTGAATTTACCTAATTCTCTTGTAAGCTTTTATTATAACATTTTTTCTTCTGTTAATCATCCATAAAGGTCAGGTATATGGTATCAGTGATAAATATAAACCTAAAAATATTGGGAGTGGTGCCTAGAAATACATAGATGAGAAAAAAGGATTCCTTCCAAAGTCTCTCCCTCTGAACCTGTTAACACTGCATCACATGTTTTGAATACTATGGTCATCCATGAGTGCTGAAGCCAATTTCTGTGGTTTTATAATCACATTTCACCATTCTAAAATATGGTTTTGAACTCATGTACCAGTATGAAAGACCTAAAGCAAATAATATGGGAAAAATAAGATGGGAGAACTAGAGCAGCAATTCTCAAACTTTTTTGGATTGCGGAACGGCAAACTCATTCAAAAACTTTTGGCGGACCACTCTGAAACATTTGCATATTCCTTATGATAATTAATTCTAAGTGGTCACATGTTATTTTACATTGCATCTATGTGCACACAATACATGTCATTATAATGGAATTTTATTATTATTATCCCCCCCCAAAAAAGTAGTATTCAAGAATTGTAAAACATAACCAAAAACATGGACAGTGCTTTCTTGTCAAAAAAACATTAATGACATCACAGGATGGGGCAGTGGGCTCTTAACACTCACGTCAGCAGCATCCAGCTGGGGCAATAAGTGAAACTGCAGCATGCATGAACGCATAAATGAGTGACAGCTTTGTGTATCCTGAGTTGGCAGAGCTGGGGTAGTCACGTGGACTTTATCAGAGGAATAAAGATGGTGAAAC